TTACCATAGTGTTACACATTCCCTGGCAAGTGACTGTGATCCATATATGTACTGTGCATATTTACATATTTTATTTGTAGGATTATTAATTGAGAAAGAAGAACGGGAAATAGGGTCTATATCGTGGCGTATGTACTTGACTTACGCCAGAGCAATGAAATATCCATATGTTTGCTTGATAATTATATTATACATAGTGCAAGGGGCTGTACATATCATGACCAATTTTTGGCTGTCAGAATGGTCGGAAACTGGCGTTGCCACAAACAATAAGACAGAGGTAATGACTTACTCTTTTGTTTTCGTGTGTCGGTTTTTCCAAATAAATCTATTAAATAAATGTATATTAACCATTTTTTGCCCAAGTTTCCTAAATGTTATTTTTTTTTATTTAACGAAGGCTCAATTGGATAAAGAATTGGACTATTATCTCAATGGATATGCAGGATTTTCGTTCGGCTATGCCGGTGTCAGTCTCTTAACAGTCGCCGCTATCGTTATATGCTCTTTATTTTCCATTAGAAGAATGTATATCAGACTGTTACGTAATATTGTTCATGCGCCATTGAGATTCTTTGATACAACCCCACTCGGTCGTATATTGAATAGGTTTTCAACGGATACACAGGTTATAGATCAGGTGAGTTATCTACGCATATCATTTCAAATTGCTACTCAAATAAACTTACACAAGTGATATTCCAGATGAAAACTGACAATGATACGTCATTCGATTATTAGATCATGTGTTTACAATGATACGTATTACACATATTACTATAAGTTGTCATATATTCAATTTGTTTGATTTTTACAGCGGCTATGGAAGACGATAGTTCATATAGCACAGGCGTCACTTCCTTGTGTCTCAGCTATCGTTGTCAGTGCTGTGGTGACTCCAATATTTATAGGTGTAGTGGCGCCTGTTATTATTCTCTATTATTTTGTACAATCATATTTTCTATCCTCTGCTCGGTGAGTGCAAAGACGATTACTATCTATAAAACTACTACACTTTTAATTTATTCGACTTCAATATATACTCATATCACATGCCCTTCAGCTATAAAGTTTGAGTTTTCCTCATCAAACAGCTGCAGACATCTCATCAGACATTTGGCGATCGATCGTCGCAATTTTGATTAATTGCTCGCTATGCTC